TTTATCCCATGCTAGTTTGAGTGTTATTTGTTGCTGTTTATGAGCATTCTGCGCGGTCCACCAGTTCTCATGTCTCCTTTATGTTTTTCGATTTTTGCAGTTCCTATTTTGTTTTCAAGGACTTCTATTTTTATTGCTTTATTTCTTACAACTGTCTATACTCAAGTTTGTAGATAATTGGAATATGTCATGATAACAAGCTTGTCAGAAATTTATTTTCATTGATTGTTTTGTGTCCAATAACTTCTATTATAAGTAACAGTAGAATGTTTTACTTGCATTTTACTTTCAGCACTTATCTTCAAGGGTATAGTTATACTTAGTAATTATCTTCTTATTGGCACTGGAATTGATCAAAATTGCAAATGCTTCATTTTCTATCAATATCTATTATGAATTTCCCAGTCTATTATTGAATCATCCTGTTGATGGCTGGGGAAAGGATTTGAAGCAAGTCTACCATTTTTTACTTGGGGGTTGTTTGGTTCGCAACAAATTTTGGTGTTGTATTTGCAGTTGCATGCAACTAAGACACTTTTGAGTCAGTTCTAGTGTTTGTTCCATTGCAACTGGCAAATGCAGTATAAATCGTAGTTACAAAATGTGTCCATGAAACTTGACAGCTCAAAGCAAACACCTACAATTGCAACTGCAAATTGCAAAAAATTATAATTGACCAAGCAACAATAAACACAATCACAATGCAACAACAGTTGCAGCAAGGGCAGGTGCATGTATTGACACTTGCATTGCAATTAGTGTTGCCATGAATGGAACAATCCCATAGTTGGTGACAGGCCTGTAGGCCTTTGTACATGAGCTTATTTGGTGGCAATATACTGAGTTACCATGTCTAACTTGGAAGGTTGTAGGCTTGGCAACTTAGGTTGGTGGTTCAAATATCTGTCATTTTAGATGTCTTTAAAGTTTTCCATTGCAAGAGGAGTCATTGTATATTGTACATCTTGTACGTATTCTGCACTATTATCAGGTTAGTGTGACTAGTACTTTGTTCAAAATTTGATCATATGGACAATTGGAAATTAACCTTCATGTGAGAATATTTTTTTCTATAGTGTTATTAATGAACAATCAAATTCTGTACATTTAGCAAGTGTATTCACGAACTAGTAAAGTCTGTGAGGACTGCTTGAAGTTCAAATATTAACCTTTGCAGTAAAGCTCTTATGCTTAGACGCTCTGTTTTTTATTTGGGGGGAGAATGATTATGGAGGAAAGGGAGATAACCTTCCCTAAAGAAGCTTGCATGAACAAATAGAGAAGCCCTACTTGGGAAAGAATCTTGGATGTAGGGGTCTCGTTGAGTGAAAAAAGAATTAAGATAAGTTTGTAACTGGTCCTTCTTTGTACACATGGATCACACTGACCCCTTGGTAGCCCCTGCTTTATGAAGTTTCTTGCTTCAAAATGATATGTCCTTTAGACTTTTATATTTTTTTATGCTTCAAGATGATGAGGTTTCTTGCTTCCAATTTGATGCTATGAGTATAGGTTCCTTGGAAAAGTCTTGGTAAAGAGCCTGTCGTTGTTCTCATCGACCGTGTGTTTGTTCTTGCACATCCTGCTGATGGACGGACTCCCAGGGTATGATACTGAAATTTACAAGCCTTGATATTTGTTCTACATTTGGCATGTTGTTCTCTGTGAATGTGTAAATTTTTACACCATAAGCAGGAGGAAGATAGAGAGAAGATTTTTGAGGCCAAGCTTCAACAAATTGAGGTAATCTTCTTTAACAAATTATCAAATTTGAATTGACCTAAAAAGATGATCAAATTTGCATTGACCTAAAAAAATGATCAAATTTGATCTTTACTTTATTGATTTTTTATCATGTGTGATAATGTATTCTAGTGCATTGTTAATTACATCATTGTTCGGCATTAACTGGTGGTTTAGATTGCTTTAGTCTCACTGTAATTCTTGCTTGATATCCATGACTTATATATACATATACAAAACGTGCACATACACATGTATATTTATGTGTGTGTGTATATGGGTTTGATGGTTATAAGGTGGCGGCTTATTAGCAAAATGAGCTACCAAGAGATTGAAGGGTGAAGCCCACATCTTTTGATATGACTTTTATGGTGGGTCTCATTACATGATTATCTCTTGGTAGCTCGTTCAGAAAAATGAGCCACCATTTTATGTACATATATACATACACAATAAAAATCTTGTAAACTTAAGTTGACTGGAGTAGCTTGTCCACCAAGTTTTTATCCATTTAATTAGCTTTGAGATTTGTGCTAGCGTATGATACAAATCAAGGCTATAATCTCCAAGATATCTTATTCTTTGGTGTATAGAATAAATCCCAAAGCAAAATCAAGGGATAAAAAAGTTAGTGGACAAGATCTCCTATCGACTTACGTTTATTTTACTTTTACTTCACCACTCTCTCCCCCTCTCTATATATGTATATATATGTACACATATACATATACATGGGAGAATGGGAGGTGAGTTGATAGCGTTGGAAAATTCCTACACTATTGCCTCTTGTCCTGTTCTAATTCGTTGAACATAATAATTGGGTTGGGGGGGTGTGGTGGTTAGGAGAGATTTGGGAATAAATGAGTGAGTTAAATTTTAAGAAGAAAGACATTATATATAAAAAGTCCCACAAATTAGTCTCCAAACCTCTCACCCGCTTCTGTCCCTGCCCTATACAGTTTACAGTTTCATTCGTGAGACCCATTAAAAATAAAATCCCATCATTCTCCACGAATTTAGTCTTTGAATTCGTTTTGACTTGAAAAAAAAAACTTCGATTGATTCCGAGTCCTTCCATACTGCTTTTAAACAAAATAGATGAAGAAAATAAGATACTTTATCATCTCCTTGAACTCACAAAAGAACATAAAAAAATATTAAAAAACAAGTATGAGCAATGAAAAATGATGCTAATGAGCTCGGTTAATTAACAGAATGAAGAAAAGTTTACGAGTTCATAAGTAAAATGCACGAGGAATCAGTTTACAAGCAAAAGAAATGGGGCAAAAAGATTTTGTGTTTGATTGTGTTCTATTAAGATTTTGGGTAAAATCCAAGGATACATTTGTTCTTATTGCAAATATCAATAGCAAAGCAACATTGGCAAATATATACTGAATGGTTGAAGTTATTAGGTGAAACAATTTTAGATTTGATTGGGCTCAATTGCGATTTGGGACGAGATCAATTACGGAGGGGGAAGAAATGCGCGAAATGATTTTATTAATTGGGTTCAATTTTTTTTGAATGATTCATCAACTTATTACCTCTCGAGTTTGATTTTTGTGCTTTTTATTTATTTATTTTGAGACGAGAAAGAAAAAGAAAAGTGACCAGAAGACACGCAAACAGAGAAGAAATGGGAGAAAAGGAAGTTGCTATTGAAGATAAGGATTTTGATCAATTTTACACTTAAACCATATTATTCTTTTAGTTTACATTGTGAATAATAACTGCTTCTAACTATTTCCTTTAAAATCCCATGCGATAATGATCATCATTTTCCTTCCCTTCTCTGTCCTCTTCTTTGTTCTTTAATGCATGAGTGGTACCACAATTAATATGGCAAGGTATACAACTAAAATTGATGGGTGATTGTTGGTATTATAGGTTCAAGAAGATGATCATAGTCTGTTTACAACCAAATTGTTCCAATTAGATGTATTAATATTCAAAAAGATCAATAACTCATTGTTTTTCAAGAAGATAAGCATAGGCTCCTTGATAATTGTGAAATCCGTAAGAGTTATTAACGTAAGTAGTAAAACATACATGTATTAACCAGTGTTGTAAATAGCGGCCAATAGCGGGGCTATAGCAGCGCGAATAGCGGTCGCGGCCCTTCAGCGCTACGCGTAGGGGTTTCGCGGCTGGCTTAAGCGGGAAAATCCGCTATTCATTCGAATAGCGCGTAAAAGCGGATTTTAGCGGGTTAAAAGCGGGTTTTCATGGTTAAAAGCGGATTTTCGCGGTTTAAAGCGGATTTTCGCGGTTAAAAGCGGCTAAACCCGCTATCACACATATTATGATGCTATATTTCTTGAATTTCTTTATAGTTTCATTCATACAACAAGCCTACTAATTGTTATTTACTGATAATACAAGAAATTTACAACTAATTGAATTTTTAGATTTTTTTATGAATTTTCTTATTATTTAGGATATTTAAATATATTTAAATTTAACCGCTATTTGACTGTGCGCCATTTGCCGCGATTTTGCCGCAATAGCCCAATATAGCGATACCTCGCCGCGACGCGCCGCGATCCGCTATCAGCAACCTTGGTATTAACATTTCAATAACTGAAATTCAAGAGAGATCCACCACATTCTAATGCTAATTTCTATTTGAGAACTGACTTTTTAATTGCACATTGTGTTAATGTGTGTATACGTAATATCTTAGTAGTGCTGTTTAAGAAAAATAATTGTTCGTAACCTTTGAATTACTCAAGTAGTCAAGTTTAATACAGTCCAAATTTTGATGTTTCGGATAGAGATTGAAGAATATACTAGCTATAAGTAGGTTTAATATTCTAAAAATTTGATGAGTTATAGTAAATTTTTCCTGAGTAAGGAGATCATAATCTACTGATTTAAGAATTAGATTTTATTATAAATATCCTTTGCTATGTGGGTCCATGGAAAACTGCTAGCATTTGGCCTGTAGCTTGATAAAACTGACATATATGAAGGAGATTAGAGATCCCATCCTAACCCACTCACCAATGAGTTTAGAAATCCGTAAAAAATTAAAGGACAAAATTGTCTCCTAAAAATTAAGTTTTATTTAAAAAATGGTGGATCTCTCTCAAGTTTTAGTTGATTCAAAGGTTAAGGTTGATTTCACGGTGTTCTGGTAATGAATACACATGCGTACCTATATAATTGTGAAATACTAAGTAAAATACTAAGTTTATAATATCATATGATTTATATGTAACTTTGAAATGCACGAAAGAAGGGCAAGCTTTGAAAAGCATACAAACATATGCTGTGTAGTGCGTTCTGGAGACACGATTATGGTTGGTGCGAGAGGTGGTGTAGGGGGAGAGAGGAATAGTTTTCTTTTTGGTGTTGGATGATGGATTTTCTAAAATTAAGTCCCTGTAACTATTACACCAAAACTCCGAAGTTATGGTGATGGTTGAGGATTATAGTTTTATAGTAATTCTAATAGGTGTCAATTTTTAGAAAATCTACTTTAATTTGTGGCCAGTGGGATTTGAACCTGGGTTGCTCTTATACTATCTTTAATTAAGTCCCTCTAACTATTACACCAAACTCCAAAGTTATGGTGATGGTTGAAGATTATAGATTTATATTAATTCTAATATACCCTTATAGGTTCAATTTGTTGGAGGAATTTGTTTACCTTAATATGTAATATTGTTAATGGAGGTTTTAAAAACATAATTACCAGATTTAATTAAGGATTGGGGGTTACGGTAGGTAATTGAATGGATTGATAGGTATAATTATTGAGTTGGGATATGAGTGTTATGGGGGTTATAATGGATTAAATTGCAAGAAATGTACTAAATAATTGTTATAATAGTAATAATAAATAAAAAATGTTTAATCTTAATTTGGCTTATCGGTTCTTACTAGTTTTCTCCTTGTGAGTGGGGTCCACTCACTTTGGTCATTTTGTCTTTAAGCTAAATCGATTCCTCAACGGAGCTAATGGTATATTTTACATCCAATTTTAAAGATATATATTAATATCTTTGATATTATATAATATTATTAAGCTAAACTGGTTTAACTCATTATGGGTTTGCAAGTTTTAGTTATACTAAAGATATATATACAATTTTTTAGTGTACATACTTGTGTAATGTATATATATATAATACTATATAGATATAAAGCTTATCAACATCGAAAGTTTAGTAGAACATAGATATATATGAGTGTTGTATATAAGAGTCGTGCTATAGTTTATAAAATACATCTACCTGTAGTAAGGAATAGTTATGCTATAGTCTAAAGCCTTTAATTAATGTGATTTAATAAGATTGGGGGTTATGAGAAGAATTCGAAGGGATATGATTTATGTATATATGTATATGTATCTATTATGTGTTTGATTTGATGGGGGTATGCTTTATGTATGCATGTATGTGTTTTGGAGGGCATTTTTGAAAGAAATGTTTTAACATTCAACACGCTTTAATAACATGGTATTAGAGAGACCCATATTCGAACCTTTGGACAAAACACAGATAGGCAAAACCAATTAAGACCCCCTAAGCTACATGATCCGTAAACAACTTTGGTTGCTTGCCTTTTGTCAAAAATTTGGATAAAGACGTTTTTATGTATATCTTTTGTGAAGTGAGCGTGGAAAGAAATTTACATCAGTATGGTTTTTTTCTTGTGTTGAGGAGATTAACAAAGGAGTAAAAAAATAGTACTAGTGTCCTTGTTAAGAGGCTACTGACAATAGAACTGTAGATGTAAATATTGCGACCAAATTTGTATTTTAATTGCTTTCAATGTTTTAGTTAAGAAAGTTAAATGTTTGTAGAAAATATGATAACAAATGCTGTAACCAATTTGGTGTGAACAAAAGATGCAAAATCAGTGTTGTAACAAGTGGTGCTTAGTGCCCGCTTAAGGGTTTTGGTCGCTTAGCCACTTTCCACTTGGAAAAGCCTAATGTGGCATGGAAAGAGGCCCAAAAGTAGTTCAACACCAAGAGCTTTCATTTTGATAAATTACATTAAGTCATTAACTTGTTAAGTATTTGATGTACATAGTGCAGAACATGTTAGTTTACAAAATTACAATGTGTATAAGATTTTGTTGTTTACGTGTTTAAATTTATGTACTTTTACACATCTACATGTTTAGGATCTCTATTAATCATCACATATGCATTTGTAGAAAGTTTTTCTCCAATTCTTACTTTTTTATTATTTTTAGATTTTTGCTATTTTTCTTATTTTTCGAACTTCTGCCTATTTAAATTTAAAAATAAAAAAAGGACAAACTGATTTGGTGATTTTTTGGCTTGGCGCTGCTTTAAGCCCCAAAAAGCCTAGGCGACATCTTGCCCTTCGGCTCTGCTTTTTGCTTCCCACAACTTTGAAGAAAATTGAAAAAGTATAACTGTAAAAAACCTCTTAGAAGAAAATCTTCTCTATCCCATATAAATAACCATTTACACTGCATTTCCTTATATGATAGAATGATAGAATACTCGACAGCTCTCGCCTTTCTCTTTCTCATACCATAAAAAAAAATCCGGCTTGAAACGCAAAAAGACCTTAATTCAAAGGATGACCTCTTGCCTTTCCTAAGGGTAGAAGATATAGCTTTTATACCAATTGTTCTTCAACCAAACACTGAATATTGCATTGGAAATACATTTTATCGATAAAATTGTGGATATCCAGACAATAGATTTGAAGTTGAATTCCTCAAGAAATACACATGCAATGTTGTCTGTAATTTATTTTTGTAATTGTAACAAACTGAACAGCCCTTAAAGTTTCTTGCAACTTCTTTGTGTGCTTGGGTAGTTATTAATTGGCTATCGCCAATTTGGATGATTTGCTTTCTCTTTTATTTAGAACGAGAATGGTGTGATAAACCTCAAAATATTAATGCAAATGCAGGTATCTAGAGGTTCTAGAACAGTTACCTTACTTTTGTGGATTTCATTTATTGCCTTTTGGTTGTAGTGTTTTTAGTTTGACTGCTGGCTATTTTCTAAGGTACTGTATGTTTATTGGTTGTATTTCTTTGATGTATTCTTCCTTGCTGCACATGTTAGGTTCTGCATGAGATAGTTCTTTTACATTTTTTTGATGCTGTTGTAAGTTAATGCTTTACTGCTATTTCTATATATATGCAGGAGGCTGAATTAGCAACCATTGAAGCAGTGACTAGGAGATCAAAATCAGGAACTGTATGAGCTCTGTTTTCAGTAATTGTTTCTCTGATTCACTGTCGTTTGATGTTTTCCACATTTTATTATATTTGTTTTGCAAGTTCAATTATATACATGCCCTATTATTTTTTGAACATTAAAATTTTTGATGCTATTTGTGGCTTTGTTCCTATACATTGAATACTTTAAAACACATTTTCTTTTGCGGCATTTTCTAGCACCTGGTTAGTTCTCTATGTTAGTTCTTAAAGTTGATTCTCAAACAAGTAATAGCCACATGTTCAGGATGGGTTCAAATTTTTATATCAGTTGACATTTTGAATGCCTATATGTATATCAGTACATGGTGACATATAAAGATCCTGGTATTTATATCTGTGTTTATTGTATGGAAGATAAATGTGGCAAAAAATTCAATATTTCAAAGACGATGAATTGGAAAGTGGCTGATGTTTCCTGGGTACTTTAGAACTTGAAAGATAAGGCGAAATATATGTGTGTGTGAGACAGATAGAGCTCAGTTAATTTGATGCTTAGCCTGCCTTTCACTTACGTAGCTGATAACAGATATAGCCTGTAATGTTGACACCATTATTTTTTATTAGAACTGGTTAGTATCTCTTTACTTGCACGGAGTTGTTTCATGGTTTATTTTACATATTTTCTGACCTATTATTGTTTATTCTTTTTACTAGCGTATTCAATTCATGAACTGTTAGCCCTATGTAATATAGTTATATTGTGGATTTGTAATAAACTTTTGGACTTCTCTAACTTCTTTGCTAATTGCTTTGTTCATTGTTTTACTCAGGGACCTGCTGGAAGTTCATGGTTAGGTTCACTGATTGCTACTGTCATTGGCAATCTTAAAGTCACTATTAGTCATGTTCATATTAGATATGAGGACTCAATCAGGTTTGTAAAATGTGTATAGCATCTTTTTCATGAAGTCTGTAACGTTCTATTGCTTGCTTTTCACAAGTAGTGTATATGGCAGTCATCATGGGCACCCATTTTGTTCTGGAGTCACCTTATCAAAGCTTGCTGCAGTAACAACAGATGATCAAGGCAATGAAACTTTTGATACGAGCAGTGCTCTTGACAAGCTACGTAAGGTTAGTTCATTCTCTGGATTGTTAATAACATACACACCAATATTTGGATATGTTATTTAGTTAGGTCTTCTATCTCTTCTAATTAAATTCCATATATCTTCAATGCCCAGCAACGCCAGACAAGAATCAAGTAAAGCAGCAATCATTTTGATATCAACCAGTTAACCAGATATTTTATCTTTCCTCCCTATATAAGTGCTCAATTAGAAATAGGATGGCATTAGGCTCATGATAGGACTGAAATTACTACCGTCGGAGTTAATTTTAATGAACTATGTAACTATGAAAGTGCATTATAATTCGTGCAAATATTTGGGGGACATGTGTTACTGTGTGAAATCGAGGCTACATGTATTAGGGGGCCAAATCAAGGATACATGTGTTAAGGGACCAGTGGGGATGATGGCGTTTCATGCTTGTTACAAGGAATATAAGTTGGGTTGGGTTGGTGGTAGTGTTCCATATGAAGAACTTACATTGAATAATTAAAAAACAAGCCCAAATCTTGGTTGACATTTGATGTGGAAAATTGTGTTGGTTGGGTATAATTGATACTTCTATGTTATTAAGTCATGGAAAAACATGGATTTATGAAATGCAGGTTTTGAAGTTACAACAAACCAGTAGCACCGCTAACAGCTTCGATTTACGTACAAACATTATGGTTGGCAAACTAGACTGGGCGAGTTTTCCCAGACATATTTGGAAGCTCTATTGATGTATGACCCATTCAATTATTCAGATTAGAAGGGTTGACCTGTGTAAATCCCAAAATCATAGGGTTGACCTGTGTAAATCCCAAAATCATTTATGGTGATTCTGAACTGTGGTGCCATCCTCAGATCTCGTGATATTTATATCCTTAATGCTACAAATATTAAGCAAAGCAGTAGAGGAACACCAAATGTCCCCTAGTAGATTGTTCAATTTTGCTAGTTGAATGTATCATGCATGAAATCTTAAGTCATACCATGTAATGATATCTCATTTAGTGATGAACGACAATTGCTAACATGTCACTTTTTCTTTTTCCTTCATACATGTTGTGTCACGCATTTATAAAGGAACAGAATCAGAACAGATATAATTGTATGAGATTTTCTGTGAGAATGCCAAATTAGTTTTTCTCGCCCTGCTGTCAATTTAATATTTGGCTTTGCTAGTTTTCTGATGGGCTTGATGTAGCTTTTTGAAGCTAACAAATTTGTAGCTTTACTTATTTATTAAATTACATTAGTGATGCAATCACTCTTGAGTGTTGGTGATCAAAAGTTACAAGATAGGTCATGCTTTGATAGAGGAGACATTCTACATAGAGACTGCATTTTGAATATGAAGAGACTTCCATACTTGGCATCCGTGTCCATAAAGTTTATAACATAAAAGATGTGTGTTAGAGACATCTGAAAGTAAAGATGTTTGAATATGACTTGTATCATGGGCTAGAGAATTCAATTTATTTATGGTATATTTTAAGTAATAAAGAATCGGGAGGCTGGTAACAGTCGTCTTATATAACTTGGTTTATTACATAATATCCAATTTAGTGGTGAATTTAAACCTTTTTTATTAAATTGCACAGTGTAGTGACTACTGAGAGCACACATCACATGAAATTGTAGAGATGTCCCACGATACTATTTATTAGAGTTATGGAGATAACAGGAAACATTTTTTGAATTGTTTGAATCAGAAAGAAATAGTTCACAATAATGACTCTTGTATTAAGAAAAGAAGAGAATTCTAATGATAAATTTATGCCTGTTCCTCAAGTAGAAACAGTTCCTTGACTGTAATTATCTTATTTTATCAGTTTCTCTTTGTGACATGGGTGTTTATGCATTACTAGTGGAATGAAATTTTATGGACCAGTGAAATTTCTCTATATTGCAAAACTGTTCTATACTGATTATTAAAACTGTTCTATACTGATTATTAAAATATTAAGAATTTTCTTCTTTTCTTAATGACTCCAAGTATGTTTTTCATTAAATAAAAGTTAAAGACAAATTCAAAAAATTGAATGCACAAGTTTCATCTATTTGCTCTTGAGTTTATACCATTCTCCTTAATGATTTCAGGATCCTCAATCATAAAAGAAAACATGGTAGTTATACTAAGTAATGTACAATAACGTGAGCCCCAACAAGTGTCCCCGACTCTTTTAAGACTGGCTTCTTGATTCAAGCCACGTCCACTAGATATTTCATAGCTTTCTACCACTTCTCTCATCTTACTATTTCTTTTTCTTGAAAAATATCTCGACTCTTACTAGAAGCACCAACAGTATGTCACAAACTAGCAACCAAGTAGCAAATCAATTTCAACTTGCTTTTTTTTTTGCAACAGCTACAAGTGCTAATTGAAGCTAATGAGCAAAGCAATGCACATAAAAGTAAATCCATTCTTTTTGAATATCAAACTTTTGAGTCCATTGAATTCTCCTTGCATATTACTAACTCTATCATAGCCTTGTCCCCAAAGTCTTGACAAACTCAAGCTATATTTTGCAAATTCGGACTTAAAAAGTTGTTTAAGCAACAGAGCATTCGTTTTAGACCCATGTTCAAGACTAAGGAAACACTCAATGAGACACCCTTTCTTGTTCGCATAACGCAAAGCAATGAGCATTTGCTCTTTGATTGATATATCATGGATTCATCAATTAAAACAGTAAATAATCATCTCAAAGATCATTGATAATTGTACTAGTGGCCTCACTAGCTGCAACATTTATAGTATCCTTTTGGATGCTATGTGCTACAATTTTTAAATTTCTATGAGTACCTTTGAAGATGTTGTCAATGGCTTGTGATTTGCAAGTTCAAGGAAGTTTCCTTGATTACTTGAGTTATTGAATGCCAACATTTGACGTAGAATAAATTAAACTCAATCTATCGTTACCGTTAAATGAATCCGGTGATCTCTTTCAACTTGATTAGATTGTGAGGCAATGACAACCTCACTGTGCTTATTTTGATTCATCAATGCTTTGCACTTCCTCCAAGCTTCATTGTGAGCACTATTTGGACCACAACATGAACTTGTAACCTCTCTCTTTTTTTTGTCAATTAGAAAATCCTTCCATAGCAAATGCATCGCCACCCCGTTGTTCTTGAAGTTCTAGACTCGTTATATAGTAACGTAAACAATACGCTTCATCTTTTGATACAGTACATTCTAACCAATTCCCAAACTTATGAAACCAATTGGAACTAAAATGACATAAGAGATTTCCATATTTCTTTTGTAGGAAATTATGTTCTCGTAGTTAACAAGGACCTTCTTGCAAGTATACTCTCTGAATTTCATCCCGACAATCAGGATGGTTGGCATGGATCTGTCCGAAGATCCTTAAGTCAACTTCTAAAAACTTTTCTTTGAAGAGGTTGGTTGAACAATAGATGACTGTTTCTCTCTGGACTTTCTTTTTAAAAAAAGTCTCCATTACTAGAATCTAGAACAGAGAATACTCTTACCTTCTACTACTCATGTCCACCTCATGATACACATGTACACCTCTCAATACTCCTCTTATGCTGCCTCCCCAAGTTTCAGCTGTTCATAAGACAACTGTATAATGGTTTTGCACAAAACCCCTTCTAATTTTTATGTTTGCATATCTGTGTCAGTTTCTGTTTGCAAACATTTGTCACAAGACTTGTATATGTTATCTTAACTACCAATAAACTAATCAATAATATTAACATAATGATGAATAGAGTAATTGGACATTACAGAGTTTCTAAGTCACCCATCTAATTCTTCTTTCCTTCAATAATAATAGCTTCATGCAATTATTATACAAATGAGTTAGAAACCTCTGAAAGGCATAAATTTTTGTATGCACATGTTCTGTTATTTGTATGTCAAGATAAACTAGGTGTATCATTATCATCCCCTACAATGTGCTTTATGTAGTTTTCTAGGTGGTTACCATATTTAAAACTGTAGGGGATGATACAAGTATTGCTAGTTTATTAGTTGGTTACCATATTTAGCTCCTGGTAATGGTAAGCCCTGTCTTGCATGTTTTTGCAAGTTTTGATAGTTTCATCTTGAAGTTCCTGCTCTAGCCACATGCTTTTCATAGTTGCTAAGCTTGTCTCAGTTGACATTATGATCTTTTTTTTTGTAGTCCCTTCAACTCCAGAGACTTGCTTTTTATCATGATACTGACAGCACACCATGGAAAGTGGATAAAAATTGGGAAGATTTGGATCCTTCAGAATGGACCAAGGTTGCATTTCTACTCTCTAAATTTTACTCTCTCCTTGACTTGATATTAAGTATTGACTTATAAATCTCGTTCAAATTACTTTTGAACTAGATATTTCAAGATGGGATTGATGAACTTCCTAGGGAACTAGCAGTTTCCCTCTGGGCAATGAACCGCACATACTTGGTATCACCTATAAATGGAGTTCTTAAATATCACCGCCTTGGGAAGAAGGAAAGGAAGAATCCTGATATACCCTTTGAGAAGGCTTCACTTGTCCTTAGTGATGTTTCATTAACTATATCTGAGGTTAGTTGCTCATACATACAGGATTTTGTGGGTGTCTGCGCTTTAACTACTTTTTCATTTTAGACTGTTAAGTTAAACTTTCTTACATCTCTGCATTAACAGTTCTCTCTCTCTCTCTCTCTCTCTCTCTCTCTCTCTCTCTGAGTGAGTGTGTATTCTTTAACTACTTTTTCGTTTTAGACTGTTTAGTTAAACTTTCTTTCATCTCTGCATTAACGTGTACCAGGCTCAGTATTATGATGGCATAAAACTACTGGAAACTATTTCGAGATATAAAACTCGTGTGGATGTATCTCACCTTAGGCCTATGTTACCAGTTTCGGAAGATCCTTGTGCCTGGTGGCGCTATGCTGTTCTTGCTGGTTTGCAGCAAAAAAAGATGTGGTAGCACATTCTCTCTTTATTATCGTTTTGATAGTGGTTATATTGAAAGTCAATGCTGCAGTCTGTCTCCATGATGCTATTTTGCAAACTTGATTTTAGATGTGCCGGCTATGTATTTCACCAAAATTTACATTGGAATATGTTAGTTTTTTCTGGATTTATCCTTTTTATCTACACTCAAATTGTGTGAATCCTTTTGCTGTTTGAAGTTACTGGTTTTCTTGGGAGAGAATAAAGCATCTTTGTCAGCTTCGTCGACGCTATATTCAAATGTATGCAAATTCTTTGCAAATGCCTGATGTGGATATTTCCGAACTTAGGCAGATTGAGAAAGCCCTTAGTTCAAAAGTGATTCTATTGTGGAGGTATGCACCTTAATACTGTCTTATTACTATTATGATGATATCTGTCTTTTTTTACTGAGCTTTCTTTTGGTATTTTGCATAACCAATTTCTATTTCTTTTCTTCAGGTTACTTGCTCGTGCTAGAATTGAATCTGTGAAATCAAAGGAAGCTTCTCAGCAGAAGAGTAATTTGAAAAGAAGCTGGTGGAATTTTGGATGGTTTGTAGAAGTCTTGCTCTATTTTCTGCACAAGTTTCTTTATTTTTTAGAGTATTGCGGTTCTTTTTTATTTGGTCATATTAGACATATTAGACATTCATTAACAAGTTATTAACTAGTGATTTTTTTTTCATCATTTCATCTTTTCTTCCTCTTTATCAACTGTAGGAACACTGTTTCTGGAGATGACTCAGTTGCAAGAATTTTACCAGAATCAAGGTTGGAAGAAGAGGAAAATTTGACAAAAGAAGAGTGGCAGGCAATCAATAAAATGTTGAGTTATCAGCAGGAGGATGATTTGTCTCTTATTCCTGGCAAAACCTTGCAAAATATGATGCAGTTCGTAGTTGATGTGTCAGTTGGCCAAGCAGCTGCTCAAATCATAAGTATTAATCAGACAGATATTGTATGTGGTAGATTTGAAGAACTTCATATCAGGACAAAAATGTATCAGAAAAGCACACATTGTGACGTGTCGTTGAAATTCTATGGCTTATCCTCTCCTGAAGGTTCACTTACAGAGGTTTGTTTGTAGTGTAGTGTGAAATTTCTTAGATTCCATGTATTTCTCTGAAGACTAAGTTTAAATGTTTCTGATTCTTTATTTTTCAGAGTGTTATCAGCGGAAAAAAGGTCAATGCATTAGAAGCCACTTTTGTATATTCGCCTCTTGGGGATGATGTGGATTGGCGACTTTCAGCAACCATTGCTCCCTGTCATGCCACGGTATTTGTTTACTGTCATCATTAGTACATTGCTGTAAGACAGTGTTTTGTTTCAGCTTAAAAATTAGTTGACTGAAGATAAACAGTCCTATAGAACCTAAAAGAAAGGATATTAGTACTGCAATATGCCACATCCAAGAGAGACGAGTTTAATATATTATTGTAGAAGTCCTCTAGAGCCAACTTTAAGACCCTGTTTTCGCTTTCTGCTTTTGAATTCTTTAAGCCCTTCTTTTTGAACTACAAACTTTCCGATTGTCTACATTATCCTAGTATGTTGAATCTGTTCTTCTTCATTAATACTTTGGTCAGCTTTTATTTGTTATGCAGCCCCTGAGAAGGTATATGCAAGTATGGTTTGATAATGGATTAGCTTCTGGAACTTGGCTTGAATAAATTTGTTAGCAAACAAGTGGGTTTAATCGTGGGTTAGAATAGGAAACCATAGTTAAATATAAGGACTTAAATGTGCCAGTTAATTTCTCATAAATCAGGCTCCTTGCAGGAGAATATATATAACTGAAATTAACATAATGAAAATGAAGGTATCAGTTGCAAATTAGAAATAACGTGATATATTGGAAGTCATGCAATGAATTGAAAAGTCAACGGCTTGAGACTAATTTCTATAATTGACTTATTTCATGCAGTCAACAAATTCTTATGACATTAATTAACTACTGAAATATCTGAGTTGTGAGTAATTTAGTCTCTGTACAATCATAATGGAGCACAAATAAGTGAGCTGCATATGAGTTGATATTTATTATGTAATATTCAAACATAAATTTGAATAAGCGTTACCTTTTGGTTAAACAGATGAGGAAGAATGAGCTGTTATTCAGCTGAACATAGCTGTTTTTGAACAGCTTGCTTCGTTGCTTATCTTCATAACTATGCCTCAATTTGTAACCTTCATTCTTTAACTATCAACTAATTTCTGCCAATGCTGATATTTATGGCTGGATTTAGAGGATCATGATCTTTGTAATAAGGACAATATCTTTTTTCTTTTTGAAAATGTTTGGTATTTCCTGCCTGTTTGTTCGTAGCCTTATTTATTCTCTTCTTTCTCATCTCGTAGTCTTCTCCTCCTACTACTCCTTCACTCTCTCTCATCATTTTATTAATTGTCTGAAAATGGTTTCTTATTTTTTGTCAAACTATGCAGACTTGCGGGGTGAATTGTACAACCTGTTCATATTTGGGGAACTTCTCTGATAAGTCTTTATCATTATACCTATTACCTTCCTACTATCACACAACCCCTACTTACTTCCAGTGTAGTATTACGCAGCAAATTTAGTGTAATTGATTAAATAGGAGAAGTACTTCCGAAGTCCTACGTGATCATAGAATATTAATGAAATTGAAGGAAATTTTTTATAGGATATTTATAACACCAATAGTGCTATATGGATCAGAGTGTTATACAATTAAGAGAAATGTACAAAAGTGAGTGTTGCAAAAGCGATAAATTGATAATTTATAATGAGTGTGGATATACACTAAGATATAGGATAAAAAATGAGTGCATTGGCAAAAAGTTATATATGTTACTCGTATTGTAGATAAAACGAATAACAATTGATTGAGATGGTTTGATGTTGTACAATGAAGGCCATTAAATGTATCAATTAAGATGAGATTATAGTTAATGGGGCTAAGAGGAATAGTGGTAGGTCTAACAGAACTTGGTTTATACCAATTAAGAAGGATGAGATAATGATTAAGAAGGAGAAAACCCTTAACAGAAGCTATTAGAAGAATCATTCATGTAGCCAACTCCAAAATTTGCGGATTAATCTTTGGTGGTGTTCTATTTCCCTTCAAATCTGTATAATATAGCTAAAACCTACTTGGTTGCTTGCTACTACCAGGAAGTAGCATACATTTTGTTAATTCTAAACAAGAACATCTTTTATTGCAACTTCCTGTACTAAATTTCAAACCAAAATTAGTATACTTTCTGCTTAATTCAACTCTAGCAGCCATAACAAAACCTTTTATCATGATTCTTTAGGAGGGGGCCCCATGGATCCCTTTCCTCCATTCAGCCCAGTATGTGCAACTTATTTGTTAAATTAGCGCCAATCATATTATTTAATTACAATGGCACAAGTTTGTCTTTTCTTAACCCTCACACTAAGATTCCTACATGTATATTTCTTTAATTACTTAATGGATCCCATTTGTCTCGATTTTACATGTCCAAGCAATATTCAATGACTTTCTCAGCTTATCTATTTCAGTGGCCATGTTTTGACATGCATTTTATCCATATGCTACTTGTAGGTTACCAGTATGGTGCTCAGTTCTTATTTTTATCTCTTGTAAGATAGTTACAAATCACAAGAACCATTCCTAGATATTTACAAAGTCCAAACCATGAAGTTCAACATTATCCAATCTGTTTGGTGGTCTTCCTAAAGATGAATTTCATGTACTGTCTGTTCAACTTGGTGCTTCAGCATTTAGATTTTGCATATATTCCGTTCCTATGTTTGGATTACTCCTCTCTTTTGTTCCATCATTGCAAAGAATATTCTTCATATGACCACAAATATGAAGGAGCTTTGGATGTGCCTATTGCTACTATATTAAGGTCTTGTATCTAAATTAAGCTGTAATGAGCATGACTCTGCGTTCAATAAATTAAATTTTGCAAACTTCATTTTCTTTATTCTCTGCTTGTTCATAGTATGTGTTGACCTTCATAAATTCAAAAATAAAAATTTTAAGAAATTTGATATTTTTGGTCGTCCATGTAATTAATTTTGTGCACTTCGCTCATTTGGTTTCAGTTTTCTTCGGCCTCTTACACATATTTTTATACATTAAATGGTTAAGTAGATTTAGTCTTTGTCTCTTTATGCTTCATCTTTATTTTTTTCCTTGTATCTTTTTGCTTAGTCCTTATGCATTTCCTGTCCTTCAATGACTGATGATAATGTAAATCAGTGCCATTTGAGGCATATGATAACCCCTTTTTGTGTAAATGTGACGTTTGACAATGCTTTGCTTGATTGTGGTTTACTTCATTCTTTGACATTTTGTCCTCTATTCATATTTTACTGGTCAGTTTAAATCCGCCTCTCCACAATTTGGCAATTTTATCATAAGATTTAGGACCTGACTTGCTGTATTTGAATTCAGATTTTGATGGGGACCTATGATGAGTTTTTAGCATTTGTAAAGAGAAGCAATGCTGTTAGCCCTACTGTTACGATGGAAACTACAACTGCTTTGCAGGTACTTTGTATGTCTTTTGGCTATAGCACGTTTAAGATTCCACCATCGAACATTGTCAATCTTATGCATTAAGTACGAGGATTCCTTTCTCATGGAGAATATTTGATTCATTGGCATTTGTGGAGAGCAGATGAAGATAGAGCAGGTTACTCGTAGAGCTCAGGAACAGTTTCAAATGGTATTGGAAGAACAAAGCAGGTATTTTAATTGCTTTGAATTGATTTTACTTCTTATTTCCTATTTTTTTTATTTTTTATTTTTTATTTTAGGGGTGGGGATGTTGAAATCCTATATGTCTGGTTCTTATTTGTTGCAATATTGTCAAGATTATATTTTCTTGGTCATCATTTTGTTTCATATTCTTATTGTGTTGGCGTTTTAGGAGTCTGTTGGTAATAAACTTGTACGTCTTAATATCCTCTTGAATATCTCAAAATAAAGATGAGTTTGTATAGTAGTTAGCTGTAAAAAAATATCTGATATGTCATTTCGTGTGGCTTAAAGAGACATTACGTGGTGATGAGAACTGCGGGGCTTGCTCTAACAAGGGCTGCATATGAAGCAGATAACTCGCCTGTGTTTGTGTTTTTAACATGAGGCTTGTGCTTAATAAACTAAAAAATAATCTTTTTTTCTTAAGCTGATTCCAAATATACTGTTGCGTGGAATTGTAATGTTTTAGAACTTCTAAAACAAAATGCAAAATGCTAAATGTTTGTTGAACTTGTGCTAGGTAAGTATTATTTGTAATTTATCGTCTTACTTTATCTTTTTATTTTTCTACATTCTAACTTCTGTAAATGTTTGAAATTTAGAACTATGGAAATTTTGGTTATTTTTTTCCTAATGCCTTGCCTTATGATTGAACTGACTTTACTAATTTTTTGAAACCCTTTGGGGGCTTCTATAAAATTATTAGCCATTAGGTTCCACATAACGCACACTAATGACTTGGGACGAGTCCAGAGTTGTTCTAGGGGGGCTAAGTGTCATGGGTGGGCGATTGATTCAAGCTTGTTATCAGTTAAATCATCTTCCATTTTGTTGTTTTAGAAATATTGTCCTCTGTAAATTAGACGATATAGTGACTCCAGTATAATGCAGTTCAATTATCTAATAAGTTAGGATAAACTCAATTCGAAAGCCCTCTCAAGTACACCTTAGCCCCATCATTCACACCTAAATCAACAACGCGGTCATACGTATTGCTGAAACCAAAAATATAAAAAATGGGGTTTTGAAAACTACACCAAAATTTGAGAAACAGGACGAGGAATACAAAAAGATTGCAATTGTTATATATTTTTAAAAAATATGCAAGATTATCATTCTTAATCTGTAAAAATATGCAAGATTATCACATAGACAACTTTTTCTCGGAAAAATTTAGACTATATTTGTTTCAAAATTTGTCCATTAAATGATAAAAATTGCTATGAGGTTCCCCAAAAATGTTAGTTGTTTTAACTTAATCCCTTTAATTGGCCAATCAAAAGTAGCACAACAAGATAAGGAAGTGAGGGACCTATTGAAGGACTGTTACAAAATATCAAAACATTTAAGAGACTAATAGTTAAAAAGCCCTACAAGATATGATATTACCAAGGGTTTTTCTGGGAAAAAACAACCTAAGTCAGTTAGTGTAGCTACAAGATATGATATTACCAAGGGTTTTTCTGAGAAAAAACAACCTAAGTCAGTTAGTGTAACCCAAACAAAGTCACGAGTGGGTCCCATATATATTTAGCAAGTGATGTTAGCTGAGTTCAACGTTCTGTAAACCAGAACGTTACCAATAAACCTAATAAACTTCAGCTTTTTCCACCGTTGCATGAGTACTATATAGTATATATGTGATGTAGGACATCTAGAAGATCGCATTAGCTAGGATTTTTTTTGAGTATGATTTTAAGATATTTGTTTAAGATTGGTTATATTATTTAGTTAGGTATGTTATTTTGTTGATTATGTTATTTTGTTAGAGTTGATGTTATCAATTAGTTAGGATTATGATTTCATTTTATGTCTATAAAAAGGATTATAATGTTTTATCTTGGAAAAAGAAATTGATGAATAATATATGAATTCTGAGAGATGGTTGGAGTGATTCCATAGACGTGAAGCCATATTTTTATGATCAGGTGCCCGTGTAAAACCGGCCTCTTCAATTGCTTTTAGAGGTTAGATGTTGTGCAGCTGTGAGTGAATCCGGTTTAGCCTATTTATCTTTTATCTTTCTTTATCTGACCTTTTATTGACAAAAAAAAAAGAAAAAAAAAGAAAAAGCGAGAAGTTATTTTTTAGGGGTGATGTTCACTGGAGCAATATTTATTATCACTTCCGCTCCGCATAAATTGTAACAGGAAAAACTTGGGGAGGCTAACACCCCTGCTGCCCCCCCCCTACCCCACCCCCCCCATCCAAAAAAAACTTGTCCTTGCTAATGACAACTAACTCCACTATCCTAGCCTAAGATGATCTTTTATGGATGTTTTGGCTTTCTCCTGGAGGTATGCGCAACACATTTGTATATAACAATACAAGTTTACAGTTTCTTAATTAAATGCTCATTTCCATCAGGTCAGTATGCCAGAACATGCCAAGCAATGTTTGTAAATCGGTCATATGTCTTGAAATTAGTTCAGGCCTAATATTTTGACCAGGCTAATCTGAGTTTTTTATTCTCACACTTTTGCACCATCCTAGTCATATACTTGTTGCATCCTTGCTATATATTGTCAAAATTGGGAACCCAAAAGGTAAAATAAGGGAACTAATAATTAATAAATTCAAAGAGCTCCTTTTTGACTAAAATTTGAAACGTTTTGTTTTATTTTTTTCACATAATCCTGTTTTGTATCTTCAATAGTAGATGTATGTCTCTGTCTGTCTACATGCACAGTAGTACATGCGTGATCATATAAGTGCTCATAAGTGTATTATTTACAGCTGTTCAAAGGAGTACTTTATAAGCCTACTCTAGTCAAAGCATACTTACCACTAACCTAGTAGCACCGAGTTCTGCAACTATATTTACTAGATTATTCAGAAGATTGCAATGTTTCCTGAAAATTAGTATCATAATGTGGGATCTCTCTTTTTCCCTATAGATTTTGCCTTTGAGAAAATTTGATCTATATTAAATGTTGGATGTGTTTATTTCATTTCTGCTTATGCACTTTTTGTAACTCATTGCAGGTTTTCACTTGATGTGGACTTTGATGCTCCCAAAGTGAGGATTCCAATGAGGACTGGTCAATCAACTATGCATGAGAGCCAGTTTCTTCTAGATTTTGGGCATTTCACATTGCATACAAGAGTATGTTTCTCGATATGAGCTAGTTATATAGTTTGTCTGTTGTTGTGGGTTTTAATAGGTTTAACAAATTGCAGGAAGGACAGCCTGATGAAAAAAGACAAAGTCTCTACTCTCATTTTCATATATCAGGGAGGGACATGGCTGCTTTCTTCACAGATGATATATTGAAAACAAAACCTTCACATTCTGGACAAGATGGCAGTCAAACACTTCTTTCATCCTCTACAAATGACTCCGGTCATTTCTATTCTCTTCTCGATCGCTGTGGCATGTCAGTTATTATTGACCAGGTATTTTGTTTTCTTTCATTTCTTGGTCCAAATGTTTACTAACATATTAATCTGTTTGCCAATGCTTTGATTTTCATTTCTACTTCGTCTTCTGTAATTGGCTCTTATGATCCATATATTATTTGACATAATACTGAATATATTGGAGAAACTTCAATTGATATGAGTATTTTTCCTCTCTCCACAGATCAAGATACCTCATCCACGTTATCCGTCTACTCGAATTTCTGTACAAGTTCCAAATCTTGGTATTCACTTTTCACCAGAAAGATATTGCCGTATTATGGAATTGCTTAGTATATTCTACAGCACCATAGAAAGCAGTAGTCAAGACACTGATGTGAGTCTCCGACCTGGTTCTCTGCCTTGGCTACCCGCTGATTTAACAACTGATGCTAGAATCTTGGTCTGGAGGGTATGGACTCTTCCTCTGATTAAGTGACACTAATATCATTTTATCTTTGACTCTGAGTTGCTCCATCTATTTATTGCTAGGGGATTGGACATACTTTAGCTGAGTGGCAACCTTGTTATCTTGTCTTATCGGGGCTGTATCTTTACGTTCTTGAGTCTGAGGTTTCACAAAACTATCAAAGGTGTTCCAGGTGAGTTCTATTTTTTCTACTTAGCTTCTTACATATTTGTGTATAACTTTTCACCAGCACCCATTTTTGACCTTTGATGGTCTTGTATGTTCTTACGAATTTATGAAACTCACAGCATGGTTGGTCGACAAGTCTTTGAAGTGCCTCCAGCAAGTATTGGTGGATCCCTTTATGCCGTTGCTGTGAGTTCAAGGGGAACTGAAGTTCAGAAGGTAAGCTAGGCTTCTTGATTACATTTATGAAAGTCCCTCTTAACCATTATATCAAATCTCCAAAGTTATTATAAGGCTTGAGGATTATTGTTTTATATTCTAACGTATCCCCGCAGGTTGAATGCCCTTCCTTGATGGGCTTAAACCTAGACTCACGTAGCGGTAACAAATTTTTTTTTTTAAAATCCGCATAAAATTCGTCGCCAGCAAGATTCAGACCAGCTCTGATATCATGATACTCAGATAATTACTATTGACTAGAAGAGAGTAATACATAAAGATACTACGGATAATAACTCAAAGCGGGTTCATACCCGCTAACCCAATAGCTAATTACTACTAAATCTAACAACATTCACTGGCTGATTGATTTTATTTTTCAATTCCTTTAGTTGCTAGTACTATATATTCTTAGTAGTAAAGTTTAACTAGTTCTGCTTAGGATGATGAATATTTTCTGTTGCTTTTCGTGTTACTTTCTTTTCAGCAGATATTTTCAGATGCTAGTGACTTTTTGGAGCTGAGTCTATATAGATGATGGTGATTTTTTTAATGTTTTCCTATAAAGAAGTTATCTTCCATGACTGATTCTGCTACAACTATGTGCATATGCATGTTTCCCTTGCATGAGGTTATAATTCATTATAGTTGTCATTCTTATCTTTTACTTTTCAATGCGTTTGTTCTAGGCTTCTAGCTGATTTTGTCTTTTTCCCTTGGAGTAAATTTCACCCCCCACCCCCACCAACCCTGCCAACCCTCCTGGCCCTGAACTTGGGGTATTCTGCACAAAACCCCCTTTAAACATTATAAAGTATAGGAACTCCTGAACTCGTTTCAGAAATACCACTATGCAAGTTCACCAAAATACTATTATCGATGACAACATATTTGATGAAGATCTGCCACGAAGGAAGCATTTTGTTGACATCCCGTCAACCTACTCTATTGTTATGGATCATATCATGGAGAAACACGATACTATTGTTGTTGCGATTTCGGGTGGCATTTTACTTGAATATTACTGCTTTCATTTAGGTAGTAATCTGCAGCTTAAGGATATTTTGACTTGTTCCCATCTTATGCACATGATGGCCAAATATCTATGTACATGTATTGCACTTTCTGTGTGTGTGTGTGTGTGTGTGTGTGTTTGTTTATTTGTATATATATAAGAAAATCTAAATTTATGGGTTATCACATGTTTATCTGTTGGCCTTTGGGGACTTCGGGTAGTAAGTGCACCCCAAAATCATCGTTATCCAAGGTACAACCAAATTTTTTACTAGACAATAATCATGCTGGTCCTATGACCATGGTGCTTTAGGAAAAAAATTGAGTCATCACAAATTTTCCTCTGAATAACTATCGGTACATGAGTACATCATACATACCTATCATAAAGAAAAATATCATCGTCGAGAATATTAGTTCTGCATATATCTCCTTGCAAATTCACTTTGCATATGTATTCCTAAGCGGAAAAAAGCTTTTAGCTAGTTACATTTTTTGATCTCTCTGTGCATGATCCCTTATAGAAGCTTATGCATGTACAAAGATTCATGTTCATTATTAACTGATAGTACCTTATGTATGCAAGCATGACAGTACAGTATGTGCGTTTTACATACCAAATTTCTTTTGAATAGCCTAAGTTTTGTGCTGATTAGAGTAGGAAGATATTTCATTTATAGCCAATCTTGGTTTTGTGAGTAGCTGAGTGCTTACTCTGTTTTTCTTTTATGAACATGGACTTGTAATATATATGTGAGGTTTTAAATCGGTTATTGGAAGTATATCGGACGACTAAAATTCATTTCGGATCTTGGTAATCGGGATATATCGGGGATTAGTAGTAAAAATCAGAGTGTCATGTCAGATGGTAGGCATATATAATATGATGTCTTAAAATGTAATTTAAGCACATTTAATGAAATATGCAGAGAGTGTCTTCGAGAGAGGTCGTCGATAGAGGTCTTCAAGTGAGAAATTTGTGAGCGATTGGGAGAAGAGAACAATGAAGGCAGAGAGAATTAGAGTTACATAATGAGCGGATGTGAAATGGAATAGGATAGCATAGTTTCTGTTTAGTGGATGTAGGTCGTGAGGGTTTTTGCCTCCAAACCCGAACTGGTTTACTTACAATGTAAATTGTAGAAAAAAATAGACGAATGTTTAATCCACGAGAAATCGGCAGCTTTATCAAATTTACAATGATATATCGAGACAAATCGACCAAAAACAATATGCGATAATTTTTTTGTGGAAATCGTATTGGCTTTGGGCCAAACCCTATATATCGGTGATAAATCGATAAAATCAGCCTATTTTAAAACATTATATAGACGCATGTTATGCTTCTTAGAGTACTTTTGGCTGTAGATTCTATATTTCACAATGATATTCGTAGATATGATGTTTCTTGTCTTGACTAAATTAGCAGCTAGTGAGGATTAGGTTCCCTTTCAAGGAGTGTTGAAACGTTTGTCATAATTAGTAGAATAGAAAACTAAATACATGAATGTAATTTGAGTAAAAGTGTAGCGAGAAAAGTGTTTATAGTATGTATTGATGATTAAGAAATACGTAAAAGTAATAATTCATCATTACGGAGAGATTGAGGATAAAGTTTTCTATCAAATCATATCGGGATGATAAAATGGAGTGATTTTGGTTTCTTATGTGATCGTAGAATACTTATGGGATTGAAGAGAAAATTCTATGGGACAGTTAGAAGACCTCCAATGCTTTATGGATCAGAATGTTGGGTAAGTAGAAAACTTCTGCGAAAAATGAGTGTTGCATATTTGAGAATGTTATAATGTGCTTGTGGGTGTACTCTAAAAAATAGGATGTAAATGAGTGCACTCGTAGGAGATTAAAGGTTTCTCCCATTGAGGATAAAATGAGAGATAATCAGTGAAGATGGTTTGGTTGTGTATAAGCCCCTTAGTGCTCCAGTTAGCAAAAATGATGTTCTTATAATTAAAGAGTTAAATAAATCTAGAGATAAAAGAACTTTGTTAGAAACAATTAAAAACAATGTAATAATAGTTGATATAATAGAGGAGATGACCCAAAAAGGAAGTGAATGAGATAACCCTATTTATCCTCTCGGACTGCAGAAATATTCGGCATTATCAGTTTATTTCAATTGACAACTAATTCTGATTAAAAAAGTTTTGGTATTTATCTTCCTTGAGGTTGTTATGATTGTCAACTATAATCAGCGATGTTATCATTTTGCTCGTATCCTTGATGCTATTTTTGTTGTCTTAACTTATAACTTGTAAAAAGCGGGAAATAGCGACGCTATAGCGGCGCTTTTCGCGATCGCGGGGCTTCACTGCGCCGATATAGGGGATAGCGGGGTGTTTTGGATGAGAAAACCGCCTTTTGTTCGAAACATGATCTAAAGCGCGACATCGCGGATATTAGCGCTAAAAAGCGCTGAACCCATTTGTTAAAACTTAAAACTCTCCCCGAATCCGACTCGAACCCATCTTTTAAAACGTATATTCCTGTCTCTGACTCCCGAATGTGCCCTAGCTGCCTCCGGTCCCTCTCCCTCTTGTGCCTCTCTTTCCTGTCCTACGACGACGATTTTCAGCACTGTCGCCGACTCGCCGCCAGCGACGCTCGAAAGTCCATCTCCCTCCGGTTATCTCCGGTCAAGCCCATCTCTCTCTCAAGTCTCACGGTCTCACCTTTCTCTCTCTCTCACTTCTTCGGCGACACCAGAAGGTCCAGACCTTCCCTCCGGCGACCAACAACAGCAACATCTCCTCGCAGTTAGGCTTCATTAATCTTTATAATTATAGTACTTTGTTAATATTATGTAATTTTTACGTATCTATTTCATGTTTAGGCATCAAGTATGCATTTGTAGAATTTTTATATCTTTTATATGATTTTTCTTATTATTTAGAATATGTAAATATATTTATATTTGACCGCTATTTGACTGTGCGCTATTTGCTGCTATTTTTGTCGCAATAGTCTCAAATAACCTTAGCGGTACCTCGCCGCGACGCGCCGCTATCCGCTATCAACAACCTTGAGTCATAGCATGCAGTAAGGCGCATGGAGACTAGTCAAGATTTCTTTGATAGATAAATCACAAGAATTGCTAGATCTAACCTGCATAATATAACAATGATTCAACTTCCATTCAAATCAGGGGCCTTAAGAGATCTGGTTTAGTCATATTCATTCTTCACACATGTATTGTTTAGCAATAACATATACAAATTTATTTGCATTTCCTTGGAAGCCTACATATAAACAAAGAGTGGTGTCTGTGACATCTTCGAAAGCTCCAAATATCTACGGTTACATTCATGTATGCAATGTATATTTAGAAACCTTCAAAGATTATCCAAGATTACTAATTACATCGAGGAACTATTTTAGCAAATGCTTAACAAAAAAAAACTACAAAAATATCATGGGACCAGCATTTACAATAGCAAAGTAAGTTATACGTCAGACAAGGATTCCAATGCATGTCCAAGTCCTGACTCTATGCTACGCTAAAAGTACAATGACAAAAGGTACATATTCATTTGCCATGGTTACTGGCTTGCTGCAGTTCTGCAGTTAAATGACTTCAGTATGGAAATTCTACATCCTCTTGTGAAGGGGTTACTAGATTCTAACCCTACCTGTCTACACCTATGAAACATACTCCTTTGATTAGGGTCCATGCTATTGCTTAATTAACTCTTGTTCATGTAGTTATACATGTTTAGATAGACAAGTCACGGCCTCTCAACAAGGTCAAGTATATTACGACAACCTGGTGACTAGGTCCTAAAAATTCTACTTACTCTGGTGAAGGAATTACCAGACTTCCGATTGCACTTGGCAGCCGTTACTGAAATCACCCCTTCATTCATGATTACTGTTGAGTTCTTATGGATTGGCATTCAACATACATACTCTATACAGTTATATGAATTGTACACGTCCAATCCCTAAATAACAAAAACATTTGAATGCTACTACCATTTAAAGGACTGTTTTAGCCATTTATACGCAATTATACACAATTTTCCAATCCCTTTTGACATGATGTGGAGACTTGCAGGGTGTGATTCACGAAAATTACTTCATTATATATCAGGTGAATTCTAAAATTTCTGTGGATTTTTAGTCATTTTCATTTGATTTTTAGCTGCTGTAACATCCATATGGACAGAATATTAATATCTAGTACAGTAAGAGATCATGTTTTTCCACTCTGGAAACCTGATTGCAGGAATACGATCTCTTGCCTTCTTCAAGAGGAAGCTGTAGTATTTTGATTTTAATTTGGGCCAACTTGGAAGTGTCGTAAATCTGACATATATTGCCCATGAATGAACATGAACTTTGGGCTATCCTTCTGAAAATAAAATGAAAAGAAGTTGTAGTAGCAAAGCATTATTTTATTAGTCAGTCCTAAAAATACGACTAAAAATTGCCCATGAATGAACATTAACTTTGGACTATCCATGATAATAAAGTAAAAGACTAAAAATTCAACTCTAAATCCATAAATATTTCTGAATTTGTTATGTCAAGGAAGTCATAGAGCATAAGAATTGACAATTCGTTCTTTCAAACATGTTACTATTACTTTTCCCAGGGATTGATCTTTATTTCTTGTTTCCAACTCTTCTCAAATCACGGAGGCTTTTGTGTCTCCTTTACTTCTATGTTTTCTCCCTCTCCTTTCTTTCCTGTCTGTTTCCTTTGTCTGGTCTTGAAGACAACTAAGGGAGCATGCCCCTTATTTCTACCTTTCATAAGGAACAGCAGGGCCTAGTTTAGTTATGGTGGGTGAACACCTCTTCCCTGAGTTCAAGCAACAAGGCTCCTTATCTTATAATAGTATTTGTCTCAGTCCAATCATATGATAATCAGTCATGCTTTTCCTACCTGTTTATATTATCGTAGTTAACTTTTTATTATAATTATTGTTACTATTAATTTTTTGCCACTACACTTTATACCATATGTCTAATGAAGCAATTAGAGAATTGCCACTGATTTAGGTTCATATTCCAACAAGAAAAAACATATTTTTATTTCTTATTTGTGGAGGAATGTCTTTCTGATGCAGGCTTTGGAGTCCACAAGTACTCTGATTATTGAATTTCGTGATAATGAGGAGAAGACCGCTTGGCTGAAAGAGCTTGTTCAAGCCACATACAGAGCTTCTGTATTATAATATCTTTTACATTTTTAAATTGTTCCCATTTTTTATTGTACTGTTAGCAACGGTTTGTTTTTTCCCCTTTCTTGAACAGGCTCCTCCTATAATTGATATACTAGGAGATCAAATCAATGGTCCACGAGAATCTATTATACGCCAAAATAGTAGCTTGAGAGCAGCTGACCTAGTTATCAATTGTTCCCTTGTTGAAGTGAAACTGGCTATATATGGGAAAGTAATATGTTATATTTCTTTATAGTGTTTATCCATATCTAGTTTAAAGATGCTGGTGGTGGTTGTATTTTTATGTACTAAAATTTTATCCGTCCAAAATTTTGCATTGCAGTTAGATGAGAAATGTTGCAACACTGATGAATCATTAATTTTAGAGCTTCTTGTTGGTGGTGGAAAGGTAAGTATATGTTTTGAGACTTTGAAGTTTTATCTTGCAACTTGCTTACAAATTACAAAGATATTGGCTGCAATTACCTGCATGATTATATGAGAGTTTGACAAATAATTTTGTAGGCTTATAGATTGGCTGCTGGTTTTTTTGACTAATGTGTGAATCCAGATATTCTTTCAATAATACAATTTGATGTTGGTGAGGTAGCAGCACAGACATTCGCCAAAAACACTTGTATGGAAACCTGAATTGCATCAAATGTTGTCCTGTAGGCTTTGTAGAAATATGAGTTAGTGACGCACACCGACACTATTGTTTCTTTACACTATGTTCTTTAATCATCATGCATACCCGACATTTATGGGAATTGTGTTTTTAGCAATATAAGATACTGGATGTGAACCGCTAATTGTTGCTACTGCATGTTTTTCTTTGATGAGTCCTATGGTGAAGTGTGCTGAAAATTTTAAGGTAATATATATAGTTTCCATATGATCTATAAAAAGCCTTCCATTGAGTGCCCATGGAGATGATATGGTGAGTTCCAAAATAGAAATCAGGATTTAGTACATACATTTATGTAATTAAAAATTGATGAAGTAGATGTATTTATGTAATTAAAGATTCATAAAGCAACAATTAGGTGAGTACAATTGAAGGAGAGATGAAACCGTTTCGCATTCTCATTTAATTACTTAAAGGATCAGCTTCTTTTCGCATTAGTTATGTGCCGACATACAAGGAATAATTAAGACAAACTCACGGTGTATGTTATTTGCTCATAGGATTACATTAGTTGCTGAGCTTTTGGAAAGGATTGTTTCTAAAATAAAATAGTGGAGAGAATATTTCAAATCTAAAGGATATTGAATTAGCAAAACAAAAGCGGAATATAATGTAATTAATCTTTGTAAATATGGAGAATAATGCACTTATTGTGTATGATGACAGTCAAGATGGTGAGATGGTAAGATTAAGGAGGATGTGATTAATGAAATCAAAGGAGAATGCTTAAAGTGAAGGAGTGTTTGTGGATCCTTTGTGATCATAGTTGGTCAGATGGAGGACGGCCTACGAGAAATTGGTTAGAAGCTGTAAGACACTAAGACTTAAGAAGTTGGTAAGATGTTTCAAAGGGTGTATTTGGCAATTCTGAAGAACTAGTTTTAGTGGATAAAAGCATTCTCCAAAAACTAGTTTTTAGTTTGACAGAACGTGGGCCAAAATGAAACTAGTTTTTTCTAGTTCAACTGCTATCTCCCAAGATTAGTTTTCTTCTAGACCAACCCATACATGGACCAACTCTATCCTAGTTAAGCAAAAATTAGTCCTTGTCCAAGCTCATTTTGGTATTGTTAAACATAGCCTACGAGGCTACGACTTAAGAAGGGGACATAATGATTAGTGGGAAGAGTGAGATTCATGTAGCTGACTATAAAAATTTAGGATAAAGGTTCTTGTTTTTATTAATGTCGCATTTTATGATCTGTCTACAAATTTGATGTGGGCATTTAATACTGGTCTATTTTTCATGTGTTATTTTTACAATATATTATAAAATTTTGTTTCTCCTATAATATTCAATCCCTAAATTTTATAAAAGCACAGTAACCTCGTGGCTTTCATTTAAAGGAAATCCACACTTGTACTTATTTAGAAAGAAACCATACCTTTGATTAAAGTGTTACTATTTAACAATTTCCAGTATTGCCAATTTTTTTTAATATTAAAAATATTGATCTCTGTTTCCTTCCTCCTATTCAGGCTCTTATATTCCCCCTTCTTTCTGCATCATGAAATAGTGGTGGATTTTTTTACCCAACCAATTTAAGTCGTTATTATGGAAAAAAATAAACTTTTATAAGGTTTCTGGTATTGATAAAATTTGAGGTGTGAATCTTTTATGTAGAATTGTGGGGCAATGTTATGGGGAGAAACCCGCAATGGAAGGTTGACTTGGGGCTTTAAACATGGGATGCTCAATGTCTTATGCTTAAAGTTGATTGTTATGATTTCTTTCAGTTTTAGAGTTAAACAATCTTTTTATGATGTAAGCAAACTAATTCTGTATGTTCTTGTGAAACAATTGTTGCCTTACAGATTATTATACATTTGTAAGATGATTACTTTTTCATCTGACACTTTCTTGATTTTTGTTTCTGGCTTCTGCTTTCTAGTGACTCTTTTTTAATATTGTCTCTAGGATCTGCTCTATATTTTCTTGATGGTTCTTACTGTTTACAGAGAGCTGTCAACTAAATACTTTTCTGCTTTTGTTTTACAAATTATGTTGGTTTTCATTTGCATACAACTAGTTCTATATGATACTGTTATGGATGAGCTGATGGCTCTCGGATATCTGATGAAATCCTTGCTTTATATGAAAAAGTGTCCAAGATTATGCACGATAGGTTTCCCTTTGCATACAACTAGTTCTATATGATACTGTTATGGATGAGCTGATGGCTCTCGGATATCTGATGAAATCCTTGCTTTATATGAAAAAGTGTCCAAGATTATGCACAATAGGTTTCCCTTTGCATACAAGTATACAACTACTTCGATATGATACTATTATGGAGAGCTTCTGCTCAGGGCCACAAAAAATTGGTGAGTTGACAAAAGTAAATCGAGAATGTATTAAGAGGTAAATTGAGCATGATAAGAGGTCAACAAGTTCGAAACATGTCCGCTAAAGTGACAGTGGTTCATTTTTTCGTTGTGTTTGCATAGAGAGATGTGAAGGGACTTAGTGATGAAACCGGTTTGAATTGGGGCTTCAGGTTATGACTTTATAAAGGTAACTCTTTCCTAGATGTGCAGTTGGCTGTGTTTGTTAAAATAGGTTATTCTATTAGGTTTTGGCCTCAGCATGATTAATGTGCCTGTGAGACCGGTTTTAAACCTTTTGACTTGTGTGATTTGCTATTCAACTATTTCTATATTCGTTTGCTACTCAGATAAAAGAGGGAAATGAAGGACAAAAGTGTGCTGTAATAACTATTTCTATTTTTGTTTGCTACTCAGATAAAAGAGGGAGATGAAGGACAAAAGTGTGCTGTAATGCATACATCTTTTTACAATTAGCATTAAACCTTTAATTTTAGTTCTCTTCAAAGATTTTTTTTCTCGTGTATATTTCTTCCTGAACAGTGAACTTATATTGGATATTCTAATTTTCCTTTTAATAGGTAAATGTTCTTAGACTTGGTGGTGATCTCACTGTGAAAATGAAGCTGCACAGTTTGAAAATTAGAGATGAACTTCAGCGTTGTCTGTCTATGACTCCTCAATACTTAGTATGTTCTGTGCACAGTGAGAATAGCAAGCCTAGTACCTCTCGCATGTTTGAGCTCTCTGATAAAGGGAGAAACACCTTGCTTCTAGAGGAAGATGATTCTTTCAAAGATGCATTGCCAGATTTTATGTCTGTTTCTGATCAGAGCTTTTATTCACAAACACCTGAGTTGGCTTGCGACCCGCCTTCTCCTAGTACACGTGAGCACTATGCTGGAGGGGGTTATGATGATGCTTTATGTCAGGACAAGGATCAAGTGAAAGGGAAGACTGAAGTTTTTTATGAGGCGGCAGACAGCGACTTACCTGATTTTGTGGCTGTCACCTTTGTGACACGAAGTCCTGGTTCACCACTGTATGATGGCATTGATACACAGGTATAAATGAAATTTCTTCAGTTATTGTTATATTGAGGAACACGTTCTCAGTGTAGCCAACTTGATGGCGAAAGTTTTAGTTATGTTTCGCAAAATGAGTTTTCTGTTTCATTTGTTACAGATGTGCATCCGCATGACAGCACTAGAGTTCTTTTGTTATAGGCCTACTCTTGTTGCTCTTATTGGTTTGGGCTTTGATTTGAGCCGGGCAAACTCTGCAGTATCCCAGACAGATAGCATTGATGCTCCAAAGTGCTCAGAGAAAAAGGAAGAAAATTCTCGCACTTTAGTTAAAGGTTTGCTAGGTTATGGGAAAGGGCGCATAGTCTTTAATTTAAGAATGGATGTGGACAGCGTATGCATGTTCCTAAATAAGGAAGACGGTTCTCAGCTAGCAATGTTTGTTCAACAAAGTTTTGTTTTGGATTTGAAGGTGAGGATTTCCATAAAAAACTGTATCCATAACATATTAGTATGTTTGAATTGTCTTCTGTGTTTTCTTCACACACACACAAGTGGAGATAGGCTACTATTAATAATATCCAACATGTGGATACTATTAACCAAAATTTGAAAACCCCAAAAATAAAAATTCAAACAGATAGATGTGATCAACTACACATGAACTACTTAGAAACATAATTCCAAAGAATTTCAATGTGTTTTGAATGATATATCAAGGGGCAAAAAAACTAAACAACTATATGAAAATTCTGGAACATTGATTTTGACAACATAATATACACGAGTAAATGATGTTGAAATTCTTTGAAATTTTATTTCTAGATAGTTCATATGTAGTAGATCACATCCAGCAGATTGTGTGGTGGCGGCTCATTTAGGAAAATGAGCTACCAAAGAGATGGTCATCTGGTGAGCCTTACCCGTGTGATGTGACTTTTAGTGTGGGCCTCACCACATAGTTATCTCTTTTTATTTTATTTAGCAATGATGCGCACCATTAATATTAATATAGCTGATATATTATAAGTGTATATTATATAATATACATATACACATATATACTACAGATACCACACACATTATAGTAAAGCTCTTGTAAATAAGTGGACAACGAACACTTTTGTCCACTAACTTTTTTATCCATTAGATTTTCTTTGCGATGCTTCTTTCTGCTTAATTCTCTCTCTCTCCCCTCTAGGTTAGTAGTAAGGTGATAACTATTATATGCATTAGTGTACGAGGGTATACGTAGGATACGGTGACTGTAATATGGGTCTTATAGATTGATATATAATATATAGTATATAGATGAAGATGAGAGAGACGAGAGGAGAGAGAGAGAGAGGAGGAGAGAGAGGGAGAGAGATGGCACTTGGCAATAACTTTCTTGTCCTAATTTGCTTTGAGATTCATGTTGGCATGTGATACACATCAAGGCACACATCTTAAAGATAGCCTTCATGTGTATCACATGCTAACCACATTATCAAAGCAAATCTAATGGATTAAAAAGTGGTAGATAGAGCCCTCCATTAACTAAAGTTTATTCTAGCTTTACACACACTCTCTATGTGTGTGAGTGTGTTTGTAGTGCATGCATGTCTGTGCATGCTTGCGCGTTTATGTGTGTGACCGTCTATACATATATGTATGGATGTGTATACATGCATACTACATAAATACTACATACGTTTTATGCATGTATGTACACACATGTATATGTCAGACATGGAGGAACCGGGCTTGCCCTTGAATTTGACTAATTCACATTTGTAATAAAAAATATAGGTGTCTACGTGATGGCCCATTCTGATGTTCTCAGAACATTACTTTGAGAACTGTCCTTACGGGGATATTTTCCTTTGCAGTTGTATATATAGGTTATAAATACAAACTTTCTCCCAGAACTACTCTTTTTATTCTGTTTTCCTTCAAATTTTCCATGTTTTAGTAAAAACTCTATATCTTGTTTTGAAAATTTGTCTATTTTCCATGCCATATTTATTTAATTTTCAAATCCTCGTGTTTTATTCAGCATGTAAATTCCACTCTGTCATTATGTCTTCTTACAGGTTCATCCTAGTTCTATCTCTATAGAAGGTATCTTAGGGAATATGAGACTATGTGACATGTCCCTTGGTCCAGATCATCGTTGGGGCTGGCTCTGTGACATTCGCAACCAGGGGACTGAGTCTCTTATCAAGGTAATGTATGTCATTTGAGCTTGTCTTGTTTCTAGTTATGATGTTGTGACAACCCTGACATAATTAATCCAACATGTGCATTTTACATCTTTTGTTATTCATTCTGAGTGATCATGAGAAATACCTTTCTTTTGTTGCAAATTGGAATGCTACACATGGACGTTTTTTCGCAGTGTTTTTGGTTATTGTGTGTTCACACCATTGAATTTGATATCAGTCTTTTCATGTTACTTTTCCAAATTTTATTTTGATTGCCTGGAGTGATTATACTTGAGTATTTATGTATCTTACTCGGCTCCTTTGTTCCTGCCATGCACTCCAAGATGTATCCATTTCCTATATGAGCTGTTATCATTCTTCCCCTCTATTATAGTGTATTAGTCTAGGATCAGTCATGTTATGTGCTTCTCAGTTCCATGAGCCTAAACTACATGATTTTGCTTTTTGTGAACAAACCTGTAAGGTTGTTTGCCATGGCCTTTTATGTTCTAGTCTTCTTAGTTAGGAATTTAGTATCTGTACAACACTTTGATGCTAGGTTTACAGTTGGTTGGCAAGTTTCCGTGAGCTGTTACTGCCTTACTGGTATCCGAAAGGTAGCAAATGTTACTCAAAACCGAAAAGAAATTTAGCCTTTTATGTTCTAGTCTCCTTAGTTAGGAATTTAGTATCTGTACAACACTTTGATGGTAGGTTTACAGTTGGTTGGCAAGTTATCATAAGCTGTTACAGGTGTCTGAAAGATAGCAAATGTTACTCAAAACAAAGAAGAAATTTAAATACAATGAGAAATCAGAAAATTATGGGTTGTGTTTTTCAAGGATAACTTCCATGTCAATATGTGAAAATGCATAAGGTCATGCCTACATGTTAGCAGTGTTATTGATAGAACATCGTCCAACCAAAGCGCAATACTCCGTAAAAGACTGGAAAACATTGTAGACCTACCTTTAACATCACATCTAGCTTTATACTACAAGTCATGATGGATGACACTATGAATCAGAAGAGGGCCTTCAGCCTTGCATTAAATCTAGAAAGGCAACTGAATTGGAAAAATAGGTTTTGCCAGTTGCATTAATGCTCAGAAAGCCATGAAGCAAGAATCTTGTTGTAGTCTATGGACACGTGGACAAGTCTGGAAGCAAAATGGTAGGTTGATTTACATTTACTTCTAGCAAAGATAAAGCCAGGACACCAAACAGATCTCATTTTCTTAAATTTGTATGCATGTTGCTAGACAGTTGAGTTTGCACGAATCTATCAAGTTTGGACCTGAACAATAGATATGCGCATACATGAAACAGACATACGGACACTGCTATTAGTAACAACTAACAAATGGGAGATGATGATACGGGGGCAGTAAAACCTTGTCATATGACTAGTGCATTAATGCACATATTTTCCATGAAAAATAAATGCATTTATATGTAGGCATGCACACACATTCAAATGCAATGCACAACACTTCTCTAAACTATAACAATGGGAGAAGATATTATCTTCTTATGTATTCTTATGATTAATTCAAAATTGTCAACACTAAATTGTGCACTCTCCCTTCCAGTTTAAATTTCAATCATACAGTGTGCAAGATGATGATTATGAGGGACATGATTATAGCTTGACTGGCCGGCTTTCTGCAGTTCGAATTGTTTTCCTTTATCGGTTTGTGCAAGAGGTAAGCTTTAGATGCTTGCTAAAGCAAATTTTTAACTGCTTAATTGTACAATGATGATGTTCTCTGGTTCAAACTTTTACTTAAAAGATGTGGTCTTCTCGATTTTGATAGAATTCTGATGTCAGCATTTGAAATTCTGTGAGGTTTTCATACTTTAATGCAAATGTGGTTACTAGATTACGACGTACTTTATGGAGCTGGCCTCTCCACACACTGAAGAAGCTATTAAGCTTGTTGATAAAGTTGGGGGCTTTGAATGGCTGGTTCAAAAGTATGAGATGGACGGTGCTTCTGCTGTAAAAGTCGATCTATCATTGGATACTCCAATAATTGTTGTTCCAGAAAATTCAATGAGCGAAGAGTATGTATCGATTGTTTATCTTTTCACTTTTTAGTTAGCTATTTTAGTAGACTCCTTGTCTGGGCACCTCTTAAAACTCTTTTGCTTATTCTATTTATTCTTAAAGAATTATTTTCTTTGATAAATGTTTTTCCTTTATTGCTCGGTTTTTGACGTCATGCTCCTGTTTACATATTTTTTTGTTAAAGTGGTGTGTTTTTGTAGCTGAACTATACTCAGTATATTGTTATTTAACTTAAACACGTTATTGTAATTTCAACTTTGAAGTATTATTTAAAGAATAATGTTTAATTGCATGATTACATCAAGATTAAGGCTAAGAGAACCGGGCAATACTGACAGAAATTGCTTGTATAGGTTGGAATTTCGATATGGTTCTGAAATACAAGGGTATCCATCTGGTTCAGTGATATACCTTATTTAATGAAATAATTACATTTACTTTTTGTCTTTCCAATGCATACCGAAAAGCACTGAAAATTAGCAATATGACAGTGGATATGTTCCAAAAAATCAGTGAAACCTTTGTCTGGTTAATGTAAACCTTGGAAAGAATAGAAATACGAACATCAAGGAAAAGAGGATCAGTGAGGGAGTATGAAATGACAAATCTTTATCCTGTAGCCAGCAGAATTGTCTTAGTCACTACTATTAAACTTATGGTATCTTAGTGGGTTTTAATTTGGATTACAGGTAAAAGGAGATAATGTGAGCATTATATCTTAAGTTAAATGGTTATGGTTCTGAACTTAACTAGCTTCAGAGTTCACAGCAATATAGATGATCTCTAAACCCAACATGGTATAAATGTTATACAAAACCTAAGTTGACAGTCTCAAAAACATGCGTGCACAGAAACCCGGACACCTTTGCAAGGATTTGTGGATGAATCATTCCGAAATGCAATCGTAGATATTTAATTAAAAGATCCATGTTAAAATCGATCTACATTATTTAAAGTACTTAAAAGGCTATATTAAGATTCTTTTTTGTCTTGGTTTTTACCTACATATCAATTCGTCTCGAAATGAATTGCCAAAATAAGTCGAAATGAATTGCCAAAATAAGTCATCTCATAGTTCTTTAGTTTTAGGCTTATAAGGTATCAACATAATCATATGATGTTCATTTTCAAGCACATAAAGCCCTTATGCACTTGCTTCTGATTCTAGATACGTCAACCATTCTATACACCTGCTTAGATCATCCTTCTTTTTTGGTTCAATAGATGCTAAGTTAATGAACTGTAATACACACACACACACACGTGTGTGCATATATAGTACTATGAGTATCCATGGCACCAAGGGAAAACTTAGTCATTAGTAGTGAGATGGCCACATCTCCATCCCTCATCTAAATTGTCCCTGCTTGGGCCCCTATTAATTCCTAACCCACTTGAAAGTGGCCCCCACATTATATACATACATACATATACATACATACATATATATATATATATGTATGTATGTATATATACACATACATACATAAATACATACATATACAAACATCCATTCGCCACATCTCCATCCCTCATCTAAATTGTCCCTGCTTGGGCCCCTATTAATTCCTAACCCACTTGAAAGTGGCCCCCACATTATATACATACATACATATACATACATACATATATATATATATATGTATGTATGTATATATACACATACATACATAAATACATACATATACAAACATCCATTC